ATAAAAACACGATCAGCACCTCTCAATGAAACCTCTCAATGAAAGCACCAATGATGCGCTGATCAGTGTTGTTATTTATACGTTGGGTTGTGAATAAACGGCGCACTCAGGGCCTTCGTTTATTCACGATAGGTGTATCTAACAGACGCACTATCGGCCTTCTCCTAGACACTGTGACTTTGAGACGCTCTCAGGGCCTTCTCTTCGACACTGTATGTAAACACGCACTGACGGCCTTGTTTATCACACGTTAGAACATAAAGTTCCCCTCAATTGGCTCACCAATTCAATACTCAATTCAAGACATAAAATATGATGAGGTACATGGGGTATTTATAGGTGCAAAAATAAATCTAGGCCTAATAGATCTAGATCTCCTATTCTATGCAATAAAATAAATCCTAAAGCTAATAAATCTCCTAACATATTAATTAAAAGCATAAAGGAAATAAAATCCTACTACTACCAAATAACTAATTGTCTTGCACTCCAATTAACTTGAAGCTCAAGTAATCCTCTTGCCTTCCAAACTCTCGCCGCCTTCCATACGCGTGTCATGCGCGCCGCCTCAAGGCTTGTCCGCGTCCTCCGTGCACGAGCGCGCTATCGCGCGCGCCTCACCTACGCCGCCCTTCTCTTGCGCGTGCGCGCCCGCATTCCGTTTGCCTACGCCCTCGCGGATTAGGTTCCTCGCGCCGGCGTTGTACGCGCTCGCCCCTGCGCGCTCTCCGCTGCTGTCGTGCTCCTTGCGCGCGTGAGCATCGTCACCCGGAACTCCTATACCCTTCAGGTCACGGCTTCCGCTCGCGTCGCCCATACTCGAGCGCTTATCGCGCGCCTCGCCGCAGCTGGCCAACTCCCACGCGTCCCAGCCAATACCCTCACTACAATCGCCTACGGCACGCCCATGTGCCCAGTCGTCTCGCGCGTGCTATCAATGACCTCGCGCTCGCCTTTCGCGCATCCGGCCTGCAACCATGCATCGTCCGCAATTTCGCGCGTACCGCCAACATTCGTGGCCTGATCCTCGGCCGTGTATCCGCGTGCACCTTGTTCCATCCGACTACCAAACGCCAATGCGTCCCAGTCGACGCTCGTGACTTGTTCGTCCGTCGCGTCCCCGTGTGTGGCCTGTTCGGTCCAACCACGCGCATCACCGGCCGATGCGCGCCATTCTCCCATTAGCCGATCACAGTCGTCTTCCTTGTTACCGCTCGTTCCCGTCGGCTCGGGCCATGGATCCCAACCCTTCAACCTCACACAATCATCCGCCGGTATCCACCATCCACTTTTAACCCATAGCAAACCACGCCTTTTAGCCTCCTTCTTTCGTGATCGCCTTTTCCTAGTACAAGGCTTGCACCAACAGTGACTTGCTTTTCGAGCCTTTGCCTTACGTTGCCTCCTGGCCGTCCGTTTCCTTACCTTCGACTTCAGCTTTGGGCCACAACCTTTTGGCCAATCCCTCGCACATGATGGCCGGTAAATAGGACTAGATGGCTCCTCCAACATATTTTCTAGCCAAATATCGAGTCCATCGCCACCTTCATCCTCCGACTCGCCTGGGTTGATGACCACTTCCGTATCATGCTGGCGATGCGCGGGAGGATGCCGGGCGTGTGCGTACACGCGGCGCGCTTCTCCTATGCAGACGCGGACTGGGCGTGTGCGTCTGGGACCACGCGGCATGCTGGACAAGGAGTCCTGGGCGCGCGCGGAAGGTGCGCGCGTACTCCTCGTACGCTGGCAACGTGCGGTGGCGACTGCGAGCAGCAGGGACGAACAACGATCGCACGAACTGGCGTCAGGCCTTTGTGCGATGATCCT